TATGTGTCAGAGCAATCTATTCATCTTTCACTCAGGGTCTGCTGGTCAGTCCCGGCATTGACTGGACATGCTGAGGAGTCCAATAAAGTCAGCGGTGATACAGCTGATTGAATCTACCTTTGTGCTCACAGCAAGGAATCACCAATGAGGTAGTTACCTGAGCAACTGCCCCACCCATCTCCATACCATCCAAAGACATTAGGAGTCATTCATGCATATGTTTTCCTTCAAACAGTCTCATTGCTCATTCTCTCATTTCATTCAGGTTTCTGCTTAGATATCACCTCTTCAGAGAAGCCTGCCTTGACCTATATAGATAAGAAACTCAATAAATATTCCCATCATTCTCTTTTCTCTTTCCCCTAGCTTAACCCTAAACCCTAACCTTAAATGTCTGTCTGTGTGTGCATACTTATGGCCTTTCTCTCCAAGTAGAAAAAAAAATCTCCATGATGGCAGGGTTTTTATATTTTGTCTCTTTTTTGTTTACTTATCACTAGAACAGTATCTCATGCAGTATGTGTTCATGGAATAGTTATTAAGTGAGTGAGTAAATCTAATTGTCAGCTAAGAATTTAGAGGCAACATGTCTGTCTGTCTGTGTGTGCATACTTATGGCCTTTCTCTCCAAGTAGAAAAAAAAATCTCCATGATGGCAGGGTTTTTATATTTTGTCTCTTTTTTGTTTACTTATCACTAGAACAGTATCTCATGCAGTATGTGTTCATGGAATAGTTATTAAGTGAGTGAGTAAATCTAATTGTCAGCTAAGAATTTAGAGGCAAATTACCCTAATTTTTAAGTGAGGCCAAAGGTCTTTGGAAAAATAAAGTATTCCCATGTTCACTACAAGGAGATTTATAAGGAAAAGAAGACCATTGCAGTACAGTTCATGTAAGAAAAACAAAACAAAACCAAAAAACCCCAACAAAGTAGCCTTCACTACATAACTCTTAATACACATTTGTAAAAGCATAGATTTTATATTTTTCTGTTTATTTTCAGGATTGGGGTTTTCCTTCTTATGAAATAGATTTCCAGAAATAAATCCCACTCTATAACATTACACCTAGAGGACCTAGCTCTCCAACCTATGACTAATGTCCAGAACCAATTCATTCCTACATCATCAGTTTCCCTAACTCGCCAGCTCCCTGCCATCTCCAGGTAAGAGCCAGGCTCCTTAGCAGACAAGTAAGGGGGGACTGGGTCTACTCCATCCCTCCTCTCATCTCCCGCATCCCTCCATCTCATCGTGGTGCTGAGATGCTTCCGGTTCACCTCTGCATGCCTTGGCTCATGCCGCCCCTCAGCCTGCAGGGCCTCTGGCTCCCTGTCCTGCTGCACACCTATCCATGTTTAAGTCTCTGAAGGAGGTATTCCTGGCCTCCCCTTTCCACCATGACATTAATGAAAATCAAACTAACTCAACATTATAGTCAATAATACATTTGTAATCTTGTGCTAAAACCTAACCTTTACTTTTTCTCCAGAACCATATGTACCTCTGAGGGCGTCTTCAAAATGTTTTTTTAAATTTACTAAATTTACTAAAAGAAATTCATCCCAGTTCATAGCAACTATATCTTCTGAGATCCTAATTATGATAATATAATATTCATCTCACTAAGACCTATAGAATTATACCATGATCCAAATCTACAACAGAAACATACTTGTGGTAGATTATAGATAGAAAAATATACCACAGACTAGTTGCTTTTCCCCTGCAGATAATCTTACAAACAGTTCCCAACTTTTTTTTTTTTTACTGACTAAGGTATGACATATGTGTCCTTATCCCCACATTACCCCCTATCCCTCCGCTCATGCCCTCACCCCCCTGTTGTCCCTGTCCATTGGTTAGGCCTATATGCTTGCATATAAGTCCTTTGGCCGTTATGCTTATATGCATGCATACAAGTCCTTTGGTTGATCTCTCCCCCCTTCCCCCACCCTCTCCTGCCTTCCTTCTGAGGTTTGACAGTCCAATTCCCAACTTTTAAGAAAAAAAACAAAGAACACGTAGCACTTATTTGGTCAGAAGTGTCTCTGTGAACTTACCTTTTAACTAGCCATAACTTTAAATAAGAAAGTCCAGTTTTGTAAGTCTCAAAATTACATATTTCAGGAAATTTTTCAAAGGATAAATTATATCTAAGAAATAATGGTGTTATACTAAAATACATTATTTTATATGAAATTTTCCCAAGATACAACATAAAACAAAACTGATATCTGATAAACATTTGCATTTCTTATGCCAAAGAATAATACCCCAGAGGTTAAATCTAAAAGTTGTAGTTTGGGTTTCTTAAAAAATTCAAGATATGATCTCAAAATAGTGACATAAATAATAAACTAGGTCAGATGCCATATTTTAAAAACTTTTTAGTAGATTTCCACTTTACATCTTTTCCCAACAGTTTTGTTTTGCATTTTAGACTGTTTATTTTGAGTGAAGGATTCTTACCCAAAAATCAAGACCAACATGGGCATCTAGTTTTAACTGAAAAATAAACATAGAAGAGAAATTAGCAAATACACACATAAGAAGAGAAGTAGTACTTTTATTGTGAAGAGATTATTATGATTGTATATCTGGTTTGTGAACATTAGTAAATAGAAGTGTTCATTGAGAGGATTCTTCTCCAGAACTGCACCTACTGATTAAGAGATGTCTTTGGACTTTTATTTGGAAAGTCCTGTGAAAATCAAAATTGTGGAGATAAATTTTATTTTTATTTTTTGTGTCCTACATGCTTCCCCCAAAAAGGATTTGAGGAAATTTTAACAATGGTAAGTGACATATGCAACACAATAATTATGTATAATTTTGGGACATTATCTCTAATTTTTATGTCTCAAAAAAATCTGAAGCAAATAAAAAACATTGTTAACATTAATTCTGAATAGTGGGCACCCACATCTTTGTTATATTGCCTTCCATGCTTCCTGTGAGTCTGAAATTTTTCAGAATAACATAACCAATAAATTTTAAAGAACAGAATAACCAACAGTCTATTAATGTGCAGAAATAACGTAAGAAGCAACTCTGTAAAGACAACATAAATGTGTAAATTTTGCTATAGTGAGGAAACTGAGAGAAAGTTTCATGCAATGGAAGCACCTAAATTGTGTTTCAGGAGAGACCTCATGACAATTTTGGTGACATTCCCTAGTCAGCGATCCCTGGACAGTGCAGTGCCCAGAGATTTGTCCATCTGCTCAGGACAATGTGTACTGCAATTGACTAAAGGCACTTCCTGTTGCTCTTCCAGAGAGGGCAGCCAAATGACAAATCCAGAACAAAAACTATCACCCATTCCTGGCTCACTGAATATTTTTCATAGGTACCCTGGGTTCATTTATTTGCTTATTGATGTTATTAGTTGGATCAAACATAGTTTTTTAGATTACTTTGTTATTATAAGTACAACTGGGGGAGGAAAGAAAAAAACATGTGGTCTCCAGCCCATTTACTATTGAGGCTGTTTCCTGACACCAGCTGGTGTTTTCTGAAGGCTGAAAAATGGACAATGTTATCACCGCTCATTTAACAGATGATCTGCTGTTGATTTTGGGGGTTGCATATTCTGAATTAACATCCAAACAGCCACACAGAAATGACAACTTCTTAACAAAGAGGCTGAGAGGTTTCGGGAACCCACAGTTCATATCTCTTTCCTGGTGGGTTGCCTCCAGATGGCCCGCCTGCTCATTACACAGGAACGCAACTCTTTCAAACGAATAAACACTCCTTTCTAATGCAGGGCTGCTGGCAGAAGACCTGACAGTGTCCGCGGGTTTCTTGAACCATACCACAGGAGATAAGGCAGGGAATTCTGTTCCCGAGAATCATCACAAATTTATAAATATTGCATGTCAGTAAATGCTACATGAAGATAGGATTTCTATTTGCTCAGATTGGTGACTGCTATTTGCACAGGAGGCTTTCTGAAATAAAGAAAGAGAACTTACTCCTTAGGCAGAGGGCACAATAACATTCTCAATCCTTTTCCTGCATCTCATCATGCAAAATTTTCTAGAACACAGCCTTCCCAATTAGCATATCACTTCTCGTGAGCAGGTATTTGGTCCTTATTTCTCACAGAGCCTGGCACCTGGCTGGTCCCTGTTGAGAATAGTACAAACAGCAGGTGATCATAGGGATCACGCATTACATTATCTAGCGTGATTAAAGAAACAAATTTTTAAAAAGGAATTAAAAATGCTACAATTCTAATCATTCTCAATCAAGAAAACCATGGTTTCACAGGTAAAGAAACCCTAAGTACAGTGATTGTGATTTTAGCAAAAGGTCATTTCACACTAAAGTCTCTAATGATAAGTAGCTCACGAAACCCATTAATCTTTGAAGAACAATCTTTTATATTGAAGAAGGACCCTGACAATGTTGATGTGTAGACATACACACACATACAAAACAGCAAACGTACTTTTTTATTTACAACCTTAAAGCTTCTAACTGGAGGGTTCGACTTTTTACCCGAGTTTCTGCTAAGCAGCTGGATGGGTTTGGGTATGTAAATTTGGGCACAAGCCCAGTGGCTGAGCTGATTAATTCTATGCAATAGTAGAAAGAGGAATTTGAGATCCGCAGGTCAGTACACAGCAGAGATTTTGGAAAGAGAAGAGCCAGACACACGGGGCGTGCTGCACACAAGAAAGATCAGAGAGAAACCCAGGAAGTGGAGCCGAGGACCAGGAAAGGGCTTTAGGAAACAGCGTCTAATTAGTGTGTAAGCTGTTTGCTATGAGATTTATGACAAAAAATGCCTCCCCCACCTCCCAAGGGAAATCTTCAGTTGACATTGCTCCTCAAGGCTTGTCTGTATGTGAATTCTACTTAAAGGTCTCAGCCAGCGGTTCTCAACCTTCTGGCCCTTTAAATACAGTTCCTCATGTTGTGACCCAACCATAAAATTATTTTCGTTGCTACTTCATAACTGTACTGTTGCTACTGTTATGAATCGTCATGTAAATATCTGATACGCAGGATGGTCTTGGGCGACCCCTGTGAAAGGGCCGTTTGACCGCCAAAGGGGTCGTGACCCACAGGTTGAGAACTGCTGGCTCTAAGCGATATGCTGGGCTTTTTTCCTGGTTTAAAAGAAAGAGAGGACCTACAGACAATGGAGACAGACAATGATGGTTGTTGACACTCTGGTAGCCCCTCTTGGGTGACTCTTGAGCATCTCAAGTCTATTCTGCTTCTTCCCCAGGCTTCCTCATGTTATTAAATGGTGCCACATCCACCAAGCAGCTCAAGCCAGGGATCTGCTTTAATTTCTCACTCTCTGAATCCATCAACAAATTCTCCCAAATCTACCCCCACAAACATTCCCCAAATCCATCCACTCTGCCACCCTTGTCCACCACCACCCCTTCAGGAACTAGTGTAATAGCCTCCTAACTGGTCCCCTTACTCTCACTTTTATCAACCACACCCACCATGCATGGCTCATGGTCTCTTCCTCACAGAGCATCCATAGTGAACTTTAAGACACAAAATCAGATCATGTCCCTCCTATGGTTAAAACTCTCCAATATCTGTCCATCCTACTGAGAGCACAACCTCCTGCCCCATGGCCCACAAGAGCGCTCTGTGAGCTGCCCCTCAGGCCACATCTTACCCCTCCCTCCCGCTACCGGTCTGGCTCAGTAGCATTGCACAACTTCTGTTTCTCAAACACCTTTGCCACCAGAACATTCCCTTTGGCTGGTGTGTTCTTCCTCCAGATCCTTGCGTGGCTGGCTTCTTTTCCTTAGTAGAGCTCAGCTCATATGTCACTTCCTCAAAAAATGGTTCCCCATCTAATGCAACCATCCTTCCACTAGACACTCTCCATCATATGACCCTGCTCTATTATCTTCATAGCACATATCTCTATGGGAACATTCTTTTTACCTTCCTTTCCGCCTCTCCTCATCAGAATGCATGCTTCACAAAGGCAGGAACTGTATTGTCACTAACAAATCCCGGGACAATGCCTGGCACGTAGGACAGCCTGGGTTTGAATTGCAGCACAGCCAGTAAGTGGCTGTGCAAACTTAGGTTACTCACTGAACCTCTCTGTTTCCACGTCTGTAAAATGAGATGATGACAAATGGCTTTTACCTCATATGGTTTTTGTGTGAATGAAATGAGTTAGCATTTTAAATGCTCAGAAAAATCCCTGGCACATAATAAACACCATATGGACTAGCTATTATTCATTTACTCTGATCTGTCCTTCATTTCTTAGGCAGAAAAAAGTTCTGTATCCGCAGACGTTTTAATTCATTAACAGCCAGCAACATACACCCAGTGATTTGTATACTTTCCACTCCTCTTTAAAGCAACCTAGAAAAGGAGTCAGCAACGGATCCTGGATGCTCCCACTGTGTAGCTGGGAGAATATCCCAAGAGCATATGACCGGAGTCATTTGAGGTCAGAGACCTTACAAAGAGTTCGACAGTCTTAGGAGTGTGAGAGCAGGGCCTCAGCATCCTTCCCTTGTAAGCCCTCAGAAAGTAGAGAGTGCGTGACTTCTGCAGGTGTAACAATCAGTTCTTTTCAAATATACTCTACACTACCACTTACAGATCCGTCCCCACCAGCAAGTCAGCTTTATATAGGTAGGGTTGCCAGACAAAATACAGAACACCAATTACGTTGGATTTCAGATAAACAACAATTTTTATCTGAAATCAGATTTAACTGAGAGACATATTTTTATTTACTACAATCTACGAACACTGACAGGTGGCTTTGCAGCAGACAGATCTGGGGCTAAATCTGAATTCTTGGTTGTACTATGGAAGCAACTTAGAGCAAGTTACTTAACTCCCACTGAACTTCAATGTCCTCATTTATGAACAAACCCGCTTCACAGAGTGTTTATGAGGTTCTAATGAGGTAGGCTCTGGGAGGGTATTTTGCATAATGCCAGAGGGCTGATTAAATAAAGATCTGCAAAAATCCATTCATCTTCCTTCTGTTCCCTTCTGATGCCTCAGGTCTGATCTCTAGCTGAGATGCTGAAAGCCAGTTTTTTTTTCTAGGATAATTAGAATCATTCTTGAAGGCAATCGAATTAAGGAAATGAAATTATGTTTAAACAGCACATTCTCCTGTATCAATGACCTATTGCCACAACAATGCTCTGTAGCAAACAACCATGAAACCTCCGTGGCATTCAACAGGGGAACATCTATTCTTGCTCATGAGTCTAGGGCAGTGATGGCGAACCTATGACACACGTGTCAGAGGCAACATGCGAACTCATTTTTTTGGTTGATTTTTCTTTGTTAAATGGCATTTAAATATATAAAATAAATACCAAAAATATAAATCTTTGTTTTACTATGGTTGCAAATATCAAAAAATTTCTATATGTGACATGGCACCAGAGTTAAGTGAGGGTTTTTCAAAATGCTGACACGCCGAGCTCAAAAGGTTCGCCATCACTGGTCTAGGGGGTGGCTCAGCAGTTGTAATGGTCTGAGCTGGGCTGGTGGGACTCACTTATATGTCTGTGGTCAGCTCTCAGGTCTCTCAGGTCGGCTGGAACAGGCTGGTCTAGGATGGCCTCAGCTGGGAGGACTCGAGTCTGTGCTACATGGTCTCTCATCCTCCAGTAGGTGGCCCTCACCTGCTCTGAAGACAAGGACGAAGTTTC